AGATCAAGCCACCGAAGGACTGATAAAGGAAAGTTTCTAAAAGCTGGCACGCGGTTATGAGATGATGGTTTTGGAAAGAATATCAGTGAATCATCTTGTGAGGTATGGACCGAATCTCAAGATTTCTTTCTTCACAAAAAGTCCTACCTTTTACAACCAGAGATATATTTGGAGAGTGTCCAAATCAAGAAGTATATATATACTTATTCGTTCAGAAGTTAGGGTTGCATTGATTGAAGCCGCAACACTCTATATTAAACAGAATACACATCTCTGGTTGTCATGCCTCTTCTCAAGACAATAAGTTCATGGTGATTACGAAGAAGAACTTGAGAAGTATCAACTTTGCTTAAACGATTGGACGCGAAGATCACTCAGTTTTGGGAACAACGTGGGACTGTGTCATTGAAGCGGACTGCATCAGAGTTAGCTCTCCAATTGAATGGATTTCATTGGACTTCTGAATGCGTGGTTCTCCGACTTCAACAATCCCTAAACCTTTGTAGACTGGGTACTGACCTTGTGTGGGGCACTTGGGTGAGATTGTTCTTCTCTACCTTTGTACATTGGATTCTGAGTTAGTGGATTGGACGCATTGGTGATCGTCTCCCAGATGTAGATACGCACTGTATCGAACTGAGTAAACAAACATATGTGTTGACTTACTTTCTGCGTTAGTCTTCCGCACGCAATATCTGCCTATTTATCTGAATGACTGTTTGATTGAGAATCTGAGTTAGTCAGTCACCTATTCAGTTTGCAAGAAAGTAAATCAATAATCCCATATTAAGAGAATATGCAAAATTACACAAATAATTGAGTTCTTCATATTCAAAAAAATAAATTAATTAAAATACACATTGTTTCGTTGGAACACTCCTAATATCTTTTCCTAGGGTTTTGGTTCGTCCATGAAGTTTGAATCTTCAATCTTTGGCCACAATGACAAAGGATTTTAACACACTTCACAATGACACATTTAGAAACTTGATGATGAAGAGTTAGACACTAATGAGTAAATCAGAAACTTGATGACGAAAGGATTTGATTCATTCCTAGCCTTTTCCATTTTGGTGTATATTTCTGGTTTCTGGTTTAATTTTATTGCTTAGCTTCCTAAGTTTTATTGATCTTTATCTTTGGCATTTGATTCTAGTACTTTAAATTATCCACTTTATAATTTGCATAGTATCAATTCCTTGTGGGTTCGACCCTTGCTTTGCACGCTATATTACAATTTATTCATGCACTTGCGAGGATAATTAAATTGTCCATCACCCATGGTTAGCAGGCAGAATGCATTAGCATTTTGCCTGGTGGCCACGTGCTCGTGCGGCCACAACCAAGTGGCACCATTTTGCTAGCTACGGGTTCGGCCGTGGCCTCGGCTACACTCGTGGCCAGTGCAACGTCTGAACATTTTTTAAGGCATGTTGACCTCATTTTAAAGGGGGAATTTTTCCATTCAAGAACACAACTTCATTTCCCCTTCATTTCTAGTTAGATTTAGCTCTAGTATAACTTAGAGTAGGGTAGATTGCTTGCTTTTTCTCCATTTCCAAGCTCAAGAACATTGCAAATCTTAGATTCAAGGTTTCAATAGAGAAGTTTTCTTCTTCATCTCTTTCATTTGAATTCCATTTATACTTTTAATTAATCCTTTAATATTGTGTATCTATTTTCATATTATGAGTAGCTAAGTTTTTTAGGACTAAGATTTGGTTTGATTTCTTTCTATTGATGCCTATTTGAGTTGTATATGCATAAAGGGGATGATTTAGGTGTTCTAGGGTTGTTGTGTGAATTGGGTTTGTTATGAAATTTGTGTATAATTGTTGGATCCCAATTATCTATTTTATTTGGAGTGTGTTTGTTGCTATGAGAGTAGTGCTCGTAAACTAGCCACACATTCACACACTTGATGCCCAATATGAAAGTGTTTCGGGGGTTAAGGAGAAGTTATGCTTTGTATTCTTGTTTGGGCAACTTTGGGTTGAATAACAATGAAAATGGAGTTCAATGTGAGGTTGCAAGTCCAATAACTACAAGATTGGTATTTGGAAACTTATGTGAATCTCACTTACCCTATGCCTTGATTTAATTTCGTAATCCTTAGGATAATAACCATGTATTTTTTTATATCCCATACCCATAGGGCACAAAATATTTGTGGCTTCATATGTAGTTTTCGGAAGTTCATTACCTTCCGGGAACATATCGATTAAAATCTCAAGTAAGGCCGTAAAACCCTTATCGCTCCTCCCATTTTCAGTTTTTAAGTTGAATAGTTTTAACACAGCGGATAACCGTGTATATTTATTACAACCCGGCTATAGAGGTTTCTCTGCATCACTTGATAAGGTATTTTCAACTCTTCTGATCGATTAATGAACTCCTCTCCAACATCACGAATCATATCTTCTAATCGATCCTCTGTGTCCTCATCTTCATACCTTTCGGTCTCAACGCAAGTGCTAAACGCATTTGACAGATCTTCTCAATGCCATATCCATTTTGTATACCGTGGATTAAATCCATTGCAAATTAAATCTTCGAATATATCTTTTGTATCCAAAATCCTACCATTACAACACTTCTTACAAGGACAAAGGAATTTTCCGCAATTGTTAGGAAGATTCTTGGTTGCAAATTCTAAAAATTGTTTAACGCCGTCTTCATACTCATTACTCATACGAGATGCATTTATCCAACTTTTGTCCATTAAAAATGACTTCCTAAAACTTTAAATTAATTATCTATAAAAACAAATTGAAAGTCCAAGACATTAATATAAGTAGACAGTTAAATGTTAATTAACACTAATTAAACTAAATCTCAGTTAACACTAAGACCATTCCAATTTCCAAGTGGCAAGTGCATACAAATTAGTTTTTTTTTCCCACTTGAAATTTATGAGTATAATATAATGTATTAATTAATAAAAAATTATATATAACATTCTACACAAACGAGACTAATCCGATTATGAAGTATTATATATTGAATATATTTGGTGTGAAACTCTCTCACGTAATTTAATTAGATAATTAAATCTTAGTTAACACTAATTAAGAGAAGAGACGGAGCTTTCATTGCTGTCGCTCAGGGCAATGGAGCTGTGTGACCGGCGACGGCGACAAGGGCGTGACCACTGTGTGACCGGCGAGCGGCACTGTATATGGGCTTCAATGGCTGAAGACAGCGGCCTAGCTTAGTCATGAAGAGAATGAAGGGTGCGGTGCGGGAATCGAAGAAAGAAAATAAAAAAGCCCTACACGTTCTATATTATTCAATAGGCGCGTGCCTACCTTTACACGTCGATTATAGTATATAACCGCTGTGTATTGCACTAAATTAAAAAAAAATTAAAAATATATTATAGACGGCGATTATTTAAACACCAATGTATATTAAGTGACGTAAATATATATTAGAAGGCGGTTATTTAACAATCGCCGTCTATTAATTGACGTATATATATATTAGACGGCGGTTATCTAAAACCGCCGTCTATTAAGTGACGTAAATATATATTAGATGGCGGTTATTTAACAACCGCCGTCTATTAATTGACGTAAATATATATTAGACGACAATTATTTAAAACCGTCGTCTATTAAGTGACGTAAATATATATTAGAAGGCGGTTATTTAACAACCGCCGTCTATTAAATGATGTAGTATATAATAGAAGGCGGTTTTTAAAAAACCGCCGTCTATTAAGCGATATAGTATATAATAGACGGCGGTTATTTAAAGACCGTCGTCTATTATGTGCCGTAGTATATAATAGAAAGCGGTTATTTAGAAAATCATCGTCTATTATGTGTCGTAGCTAGTATAACAAAATATAATAGAAGGCTGTTATTTAAAAAACCGCTTTCTATTAAGTGACGTAGTATATCATTTCTGTAGTTGTGATATTTGGAATCTTAGCTTGAAACCAAGTCCGGGTCCTTTGTTTTACCTGTTTTATTTGACATTTGCTTAATCCTATTAACCCAACCTATTAACAATTGGCCTAGCTTCTAAAAGGGTACTTTTAGCTTGCGCTTAACTCCACCTTGCATCATTTCCTAACATTACAAGAGTCATCTCTAGTGGAAATGTGAAATGATATCATAACACTATAATGTAATTTGATACTTGATAGATATGTGAAAACCGTCTTATCAATGGCACACTCCTTTATAAGTGTGTTGGCCCTCTATGACTGCTCCTTAATGAGGCAATGCTCTAATGAATGCATTGGTTCTGCGCTTAATTAGTGCAGCCCTCAACTCCTGGTCATTACTGTTTGACTACCTTAATTGCTTTAATGGGTTAGACCAAGAGTGTTTCGGGTTGGGTATAGTAACTTATTTAATTATCCCGTCAACTTTTTTATATGTGATTATTATATGATTTTTTTTTATTAACTTGTAGTATGTAGTTAATTTACGATGAAAATGAAAGTGATTTTTTAATCAATGTTATGTGAGGTAGTATATTCTTAGGGCATCCTCAATAGTGTAAAAATTTTGAGGTGATTTTACAGGTGTAATTAGGAAAGAGAAAATGAGATGGGAGAAAAAAAAAAAGAAAAAAAAAACAAAACTAAAATCTAAAAACAAAAAATAATAATAATAATTACGCGTCCGCCTGGGCGCGAGAGTTTGAGTCTCACGCATGTGAGACGCAACTCTCTCCTCAAACGCTGGCCCCACAAGTCTACAAAATCTCCATGTCTTGCAGGAAGCACTAACCTAATCACTCTCCTCTCTCTCTCTCTTCCGACAAAGCGTCATTTTTTTAAAAAAATTGAAAGAACCCCATTAATGGGATGCCCTTAATGTGTAAGGTTATGAGTGCGTTACGTGGACTTGAAAGACGCTGCCATATCACAAGCGTTGTTTACACCTGGGAGGCTAGGACTTGGATAGAATTTTAACACCACCGTTTGGGCAGGGGCAGAATCAGGTGTATATATAATATATGCACTCTATCCCAACCTTCCTCTCTTGGCTGAAACCACAAAAACACAGATATCATTAAATTTTGCCATATCTTCAGCAGGTTGATGAGAAACCAAGAAGCTAGCTAAGGATCATAGCATATAGTACTATACGTAATGGATTTCCCCAGACCACCTTACGTTCACACACACCACACGTCTCATATGGGTTTATTTGGTATGTGTTGCCAAAACATCTGCAGAGTTATCTCTTCCTGGTTAGTCTCTGTCTCAGATCAGAGCATCACTGAAATTAAACCTCAGCTTGTACTAACCATTTAATTTATCCCACCTTCTACGTTAGTTGTGACTAATAATTTCTTGGTTTGTATGTACATATATGGGCAGCGCCTACTTCTGGTGCTGTTGTTGGCTTATAGAAGGCTGTTTTGGCCGGCAACGACGTTGGGGACCGCCGCCTCCTCCTCCTCCTCATCCACATCCTCCTCATCCGCATCTTCCTCGTCCGCATCCACCGCCGCCAATGTACTGATATTCCGGCCTGCAGCTACACCGCCCATGATGTGATTAACTTCGATCTAGAAGAGTAAGAAGACATGCTGTCTTTGTCATGAGAGTATGTAGGACTATATATGGTTGTTCGTCGTTTTTTAATAAATAACAAATGATTTTGCTTTTGGTATGTTCTTTAATTTGTCCCCATTCGGGATGGTTTAATTTAATTTGGTTGCTCCATATGATGAATAAGGTTGATAGTTTATAATTTTTCTTTTTTGAAAACCGATAGTTTATAAATTTTAATTAGCACTATGGTGTATATTTTTTACCATTGTTATACCATGGACCATAATTCATATTGCATTGTGAACTCGGATACGAAAATTCTATACTTTCAGTTTACACATTTTGTATTTAAAGTTAACAGTTTCTGTACATGTAAATAAATAACTTGACAATTGCTGCCGCATAATATGATAGTTACATGTACAGAAACTATCAACTGCAAGTACGGAATGTGTTGACTATAGATACAGAATCTGACTTAATAATTGCTAACACATAATATGATAGCTACAAGTACATAAACTATGTACAAAATGTGTCAACTATGGATACATAATTTAACTTGATGATTGTTGACACATAATATGATAGCTACAACAAATACAAAAATTATTAACTTCAGGTACAAAATATGTCAACTATAAATACAGTCTAAAGATTATTTTTGAATTAGAGTCTACAATGCAAGGTAGATCCTAGTCCATGGTATATTTTGTCGATTTCAGAAGGCCAGGCCAAACAATCATTACTCATACCACTCTCGTTTCTTGATTAATTGACGTATAATACAATTACTTGGTCTAACTATTTATTATTGTTGTATTTTTTAGTTTGTTTCTAGATCAGTGAACCAGATCACTCATACATTGGTTAAAACGGTTGACTCTTAGTCTAGTCGTATGAGTTGGGAGTCTATTCCCCTTCATTTTCTTTTTGGTCTAATTTAATATATATCTCGTTGTTGATTTTCAAAAAAATAAAAAATAAATAAATAAATAATAAAAAATAAAAAATAAAAACTATATTTAAGATATACTTCTAGATGACTATATTATTTTACAAACTTGACTAAACATACAATACAATTGTCAATTACAATACAATTATTGATTGCTTCAATTACTTGATTTAGTAAAGTAATTTAATTAGTAGATTTAGTAGAATTTTTTATTATTTAACTGCTACAATATAATGCATCATTGTTAGATATTAAGTCCGAAAAAATTGATCACATGAGGCTCAGAACTAGGATTAACCTAGTCAATATTAGGCTAGCCTTGGTTTGAGGAAGGAAGGCTTCGAGTTCGCACAGACTTGTTCCTAATGTTAATATATCGTAGATCAATGTTCACATGATAGGTGGATTCAGCCTTTTAGAAGAATATATATGTATATATAATATATAAGATTTCAGGCTGTGTAGGGAGATTGTGCCAATTTGTTATATGGTGAAATTGTGTCCAATTGATAATTATTTTAAAAATCTCCAAAAAAATATATATGTGTGTGTGTGTGTTCTAGGGAGATTGTGTCAATTTGTGATATGGTGAAATTGTGCCAAATTGACAGTTCTTTTAAAAATTCGCCCAAAAAAGTATATGTGTTGATGGATATATTAAGAGAAGAGACTCGGGACAAATCGACCCGAGGTGGTCGCGGTGCGATAAGAGGGAACTTGGGCGTTCCCAGTTGGGGCCGAGGTAGACCCCAACGTCGGCCTCAATTGGGGTCGACCTCGACGTCGGCCTCGGTTGGGGTTGGCCTCGGCGTCGGCGTCGGCCTCGGTTGGGGTCGGCCTCGGTTGGGGTCGACCTCGATTGAGGTCGGCCTCGGTTGGGGTCGACCCCGGTTGAGGTCGACTTTGGCCAGACGGAGTAGCCCGTGGGGACCGCCACGTGGGTAGGCCGTCCTGGGCCTCAGGCGTGCCCGCGTGACTAGGTCAACCGGGATCCAACCGCCCACCCTATTCTCATGGGGCGGTTGGGAGAATTATCTAGTATAAAAAGACATCTCCTTGTCTTGTTAGGACATCTACACTTTATCTCACTATTACACTCCTTGTAATTCCCCTACAAAAGATTATTAATACAAAAGTTGTCCCCGCGGCATATACCTTGGTGCCTTTTCCTATTTATCATTTATTGAATTTGGTGATTCGGGTCTACCCCGAGTAATTAAATCCATCATGTGTGTGTATGTGTTTCTAATACCTTGATTCTCTTTCCTACTTTTGGCAGTTCCCAACTCTTAAATCTCAATTGACAAGTACCATTGTAAATCAAGAATGTCAATTCCCAATTTAAAATCTCAAATAACAATTAGCATCTTCGACCGGAACCTTCTACTAATTAGCAATTACCATTATTTTTATTTTTTAATTCAATTTCCAAATCTCAATGAATACTGTGGTGATATTGATGGAAATGAATTGTATATTGAGCTAAAATTGTTTAGAGAGATTTTATTGAAAGAAAAGATAGGGGCAGTGAGTATATTGAATTCATTGAGACAGATGGGTTATGTTCCAAATACTACTATTGCATATCGAATATTATTGACTATCTCAATTACTGCAAGTATGTTGCAAGAGAAACTCAATGGAATAGTTTTAATCTCCATTGAAAATGAGCTTTTGGAAGAAGTTGATATCGAAAGTTTGATAGACATTTTGCGTCTAAATGTGCACGGTACATGTCACTTTTTAAATAAAATTTTAGATGTATTTTTTATACAATATTTATATTTTGATACAACTTTTTGAACAATTATTATTTATATATATAAATTAATTGAAAAAAAAAGGTCTAAAATTAAGATATTGCACAGGGCCTCAATTTTTATTGAAACGCCCTGCATAAGGCTACATTTAATCTTATTTTTAAGTGACAATATGATGAAAACCTCTTATATGAAAAGGTATACATAAGGCTAGAGAACCTGGCATGTGTGTTGAAACTAAGAAACTAGGAAACAACAACAATTTTTCTTTTAGAAAGCGTAATTTCGATCTGGGAAGGGGGGGCTTAGGGTTGGCACATACCTATACTGATGATAACATCTTTTTACTTCAAAAAGTACAATTCCCTCTTCTTCTTTTTTTCTTTTGTCAACTATTAAGAAAATCTATCATTACTATTTGAGAGTGTACATTTTAACATTTAGAGTGTGTTTGGTTGATAGGTTTAGTTATTAGAAATGGGTATAAAACTCATTATTATTGTATGGTTGACAGGATTTTAGAACACTATTATGGGTTTTGATTACCCCCTTAATTGAAAACCACATTCCCTAATAAAATAAAGATTTCATTCCATTACTCCTCCTCATACATAATCAAATAACAATATTGATAATCATTCACATTCCACCCTATTAAAGAATAAGGGTGACACAGCTGATTGTGTAGGAGGATAGGCTACCAAAGGGACTCCCGGGACCTTTCATATTTTGGTTTGTTGTAAACGCCATTGGCGGCCTTTCTCCTTCTCTGGTCATCACCTTATATACTCTGCATGTAATCTTCTTCAAAGGCAAGCTTTAATGCAATTTGTTACAATGAAACCTCTCTCACCTCTCTCTCACTAAGCCTCCCTGCCTCCCTGCCTTTCTCCATCATGGTATTAGAGCACGGGAAAGGTAGCTACGCCACCGCAGTCACCGGCGCCGGAGAGACGAACCAGCCAGCAGCTTCGACAACGCAGATTGATCAATCGCCTATCAGTAGTCCGCAAAGGAGCTTATCTCCACAGAGGAGAAATAATGCAGAGGATATAGAGATCATCTATATCTCAACACTAATGAGAATCCGAATGCGATTCTCGTCAGTCCGCCACTCACAGGCAGCGCCAATTACGGTTCATGGAGCATCTCCATGCGCGTTGCCTTGCAAGTGAAGAACAAATGGAGTGTGGTCGATGGAGGCATCACCGAACCGGATAGGACACATCCTCAATACGCCTCCTGGAGACGGTGTAACCTTATGATCTGTTCATGGATTTAAAAGTCTGTTCACCCTTCCATAGCTCAAAGCATTATGTACATACATAAGGCATAGGAGGTGTGGAACGACTTTAAATGAAGATTTTCTCAAAGAGATTCGCATCAGATTTCAATTCTCCAAAGTGAGATCTACACACTAAAGCAAGGATGCCTCACAATAAATGACTACTATACACGTTGCAGAACATTGTGGGAACAGATGAATGAATTAAGACCTTTACCTGTCTGCAAGTGCGTCCCCAGTGCGCTTATGATCTTGTGGATGAAATCAGACGTGAGCGTGAAGTGGACCAAATAATCAGATTCCTCCAAAGCCTAAATGAAGAATACAACTCTCTCAAATCAGGTGTCCTGGTTCTGGATCCATTACCGGACATACATAAAGCCTTCTTTATGGCGGAAAAATTCGAGAGGCAGTTGAATATTGCTGGTCTGAATCTGAATGGATTGGAACTCAATCATGCCAACTCAGTCCAGATTGATCAATCCCCTACAGCAGACGTTGTTGCAGCAGTCAATTATTACAATAACCGGAAGAATTCCAATGCAAATGGCGGAAACAAAATAGCAAAATGCACTTACTACTGCATGACTGGGCATACGGTTGAGAAATGATACAAAAAGCATGGATATCCACCCGGTTGGATCCCAGGTTACAAATCGAGGGGAAAACAACAAGTTGTAGCAGCCACAGCAAGCAATGAGGGCAGTATGAGCTCCGAACAACTCCAGAAACTTATTGCTCTCCTTCAAAACCAAACAGAGTCCGTCCCCAACCACAGCCGCTGTTTCCCTTGCTCTAAAATTCAGCAACTCAGAATAACTAGGTGAAGGCAAGTACACTATCCCTACACATATTAATTCTATTACGTTAGCCTCATCTGATTGGATCCTGGACTCCGAGGCTACTAACCACATAATCTGCTCTATTGAATTATTTGATGATTATCATGTTGTTGAGGGGACAGTTGTTAATCTTCCTAATGGAAAGCATGTCACAGTTGAACATGTGGGCAACATAAAATTTGGTGATGATCTGTGGTTAAGAAATGCCCCACACATCCCTTCATTTAAGTTCAACATTATATCTGTTAGTAAATTGCTTCAAAACTCAC